GAATGTACTAATTTATTTGTGAATATTTGTAATTCCCTTTTCCCAGGAAATAAGTAGTGATGTACAAGTGGTAATGCTCTGATTTTCTTGATATTTAAAAAGAAAAACAAGGGAACAAAGCCAGCTTTTTAGCTGGCACTGTTAATGATCTGACATTAAAAAGCAAGGGACCAAAATGCAGTCCTTCAAAGACACATTCCGATGTGACCTTCATAATTGAAATCACCAACCAGGTAGACTGCTATGCTTTTGTGTAACGTGAATACTCATCTGAATCTGTTTGATAAAATATTTGCTTACATACATGCGTATTAGAAATAATAATTCATATGCCAGCATTTCATTATGAGAGTCTCTTGGAATCAAAATTATTTACATTACGCCGAGATGCATACAACCCATCTATAACAAATCGACTAAGAATAAATAAAGTGAACATTTATTTTAAAACAATTGCAAGATGTTTTACATTTCTGCTCAGTATTGAGCAGTGTGTTGAAAATGCATTTTTCATAAAACCACATGCAAGGCTTTTGATGGTGAAAAAATTCACTCGCAACAGCCACATGTCTAGGCAAATCCTTAGAAGCTAGTATGGACCCCACACAGGCATTCCAGAAGAAAAGACATTACTAGAAAGTAGTTGCTCTTGAAGTGAAGTAGAATATGTGTGAGCCTACTAGGCCACTTTGATAAATAAATAAGTCTTTTTTCTTTTCTAGCACAAAACTGGTTCAACTGGAGGGCAACTTAAACCCAAATTCACATGCTACTTAGTTTTTTCTTTCCCATTTATTTCTTAAGTGATCCCTTGGTTTATATGAAGATGTGATTTCTAAGAAAAAGAACCATTTGGCTTTGGGTTGACTGAATTTTACTGTCCTGGATTTTCAGCATCTTTCTGTGAAACTCCAAGAACAAAGCCCAGTGTCCCAGGATTATCGATGTACAAATCTATACTCCATTGACCATGGGTTTCTTTCAAAATTGGTGTCATTAAACCAGTACAAAAGATCCTCTGAGCACTCTTAAACTAGTGCAAAGCTGACTAATTTAGAGTAGTACGGTCAGACATAAGTTTTATCTAAAGCACTGTTGAGCCTGTAACTATATTTAACTATACTCAAACTGTATTTTACTGTCTCCAGCATCTATCTCAAATCCTTCACTTGCTTCTTTGAAAGACACCGCTGCTGCCCTTAGTACTTAGACTAAATTTAGTCTTCTATACCAAGTCTAAATGTGTCCTAAACTAATCCATGGGCTTTTGTAATCCTGCTCTCCTCTTGCCATGCCATGGGGTCATCATAAGCCTACCTACCTCCTTTTTGGCACTTCTGGCATTCTGACCCTGCACTAAAATGCAGCTAAATTGGCTGTGGCTGCCCTGTAGTCACAAATTCCAGTGTCAAGACTAGACAATGACTAAACCAGGATTTATACAATGATAACTACATGTTTATTGGTTGATTTTTAAGTAAACTGATGCAACCTATGTGGACAATTTTCACTTGCCATGTTTATTATATTCTGAAGGAAGCTTGCCTGTGTATTTCCTGTTTATTCTATTTTTACTGCATGGAATTAACCAAACTTTAGTTACTTGGATTTCTTTTCAGCTATAAAAAGAAACTCCACATAAAAGTGAAGTTCTAAAAGTAAGTTTCACTGGAATAGGTAAAACTACAGTTTTGTGTAACTTTTTGCCACGTTCCTGCACACCTAAGCTTTTCAGGGTAAGAACTAAAGACAGGGGAGGAAAAATACAAGTTAAGCACATTTTTAGGGATTTATAAAGTTTTTCTGAGCAAGAACAAAATCTGTTGGAGTCCATAGTTTGTTACCTTCTAAGCTTGATTTTCGTTCTAAGCTTAAACTTTCTCCAGTGTGTCTCTCATATGAAATGGGATAACCTGGCCTATATTGCATGCTGTATCTAAGTAGTTTTAGAACCATTTGGCACATTCAGAGATTTTTTTCCTCCTCCTCAGAGCTACTAAATGAGTCCCCCTTTCCATAGCAATACTAAGTAAGCATTCTGTCATTTTAGTTTATTCTCCTGTGTAAACCAAGGTTAGTTACTAACTTGTTAAATGTTATGATTGATGCAGAAATACATTTGTAGGTTTACTTTATAATTCACAGCATTGAATTTCGTTCTTCATGGTGTCATATCAGCACTTCGGAAGGAGTCAAATTATAAAGGATAATTCTTACTTCTAGGTTACACTTCCCTACCTCATCCCCTTCCACAAAAAGGTTAAGTGTCTTCAAATTAAGGCAGCAGTAATTAACCAGTGGCATTGTTTGTCATTTGCCAACTCTGAGTGTTAATGAGAGAGAAATTAGCACTTAGCAGCAGGAGTTCCTGATAGTCAGTGGCAAGTGCTTAATGTGCCAACAAGTTCATTTTGGTCTTAAGTACTGCACTTAAGTGTTTTTAAACAGAAGTATGGTATGGTTTTTATGTGATACGGACTGTGTGATATAGAGCTATAATAGAAGGAATGGCACAATATAGGCGGAAAAAAGTGCAACCTAGGCAGCACAGGGCAAATAGTTTTGCTGTAATAACACAGTCAAAAGCAGGACTGATGGATGGATTCATGCTAAAGATGTACTTGCTCCTGCAATTAACAGCATAGAGATGTTCTTGTATATACATTCTATCGTCAAACTTGGCATTTCTGAACATAATTTTTAAGCTCAAAATATTCCTGAAAAATTGTGCTTGAGCTGTGAAGATTTGCTAGAAAGACATAAATTAGCCTTTTGAGGAGTCTCGAAATACTAATTTTATTAAAAATTACAGTTTCAAAAAATAACAAATGACTTAAGCACACTGCCCCATGTGTTTATGGTGGATAGGGGATTCAGACTGCCACACAGAGCAAAATGAGCCCTCCAAAACTTGGGCTGAGCAGCTGCTCATTAGCGCCGAGATTTTACCTGGCACACGCACTGGTAATGAGTAAGTACTCGTGTACGTTTCATAGCTTCTGCCTTGCATGAAATAGCCCATTAGAAATGTACGTACGGTCTGCTCCCTGTCTTCTGGGGAGTTTTGCTTTTTAAATAACTTTGTTTAGTACATAAGTACATCCCCACCCAGTTGTCCCTTCTCTATGTTTGGTTGATGTGGGAACAGATCTGTAGTCTCGAACTAACACGAGTAGGCCCGTCCGGCATCAGCAAGTTACTGCCTCTTCTCAGAGGCGGTGACCACCAACCCTTGGCTTCACTTGCCCTTTTGCTCCTCGCTGCTGCTGAGCTGGCCGGCCTCCTCCTTGCAGCGAGGCCCTGCACGTCGTGGCCCCACACAAGCTTCAGCAAAGGCAAACAGAGGGAGGACCTCAGACACAGTAGAGGGTGAAGTTGTTGGCCATCCAGAGAAAACTTGGGAGTTGCGTGTAGGCAAGGCTGTCCTTTGGTATGAGCCGCTTTTTAGTCTGCGCTTTATTCAATGCTAAACATGTTTGAACACATTCGCTACTATAGCTGGATTTGGCGGAGTTTTAACCTTGCCACTTTCTAATAGCATCTTTCAGTCGCAAAGAGACGTTTGCCAGGGCTGCCTCAGCTATGCTGAGGGGTAATTTACTTTGCCACTAAACTGCGGCCACTTCTAGGCTGAAGAGTAGTAGCCATAAACCGAAATGTTGCAATGCTATGCAGCAGTTTCGGGCAAAAGACTACCGTATCTAATTGAAACTGCAGGAGGAAGCCACAGGGGTTTCTTCTTCCTTTGATGCCTGTTCCATTACATGAGCACATCAAATAGAGTTTTCCCTCCATTGTTGGAAAGAAACCACCCTAATGAAGCCAGTCTGGCACTACCCACAGCTTTGAGTGCTTGTATTGTCTGCTAAGTGGAGATTTAGGTTACCGTGCATCCCCCCCAACACGTTTTTACTGCAATTAAACATTAACAAAAATTGGCGACCATATTGGTTGAGTCCCGAGCAGGGCTCTGCATATAAACCATCACATGACATTCTATTGAACTTTTTCTTGTACAGACGGTATCTAACAGCTCATCCTGCACTGTTGTTTTTGGCAAGTTCACTACAGCATATAATAAATCAAGGAAAGAAAAAGCTTTTTGGCCTAATGTTGTACAGACTGCTGTAATGTTAGACTACAGAAAGCAGTTCTGTTTTTAGACATCCTTTTACTAACCCAACATTCATAATTTATGATTTCACTGTAAAATTCCTGCAACACTACACCAAAAGTAGTGCTGCCCTTTAATTAAGTGCTCTCAGTAGGAAAAACGTGAAACTGATGTGCAAAACATATCGCAGTATACAGTGATTGATAGTGATTACTTCTTTATGAACCCAGCCTGAAGGTCTGAACTTCCTGATGGGTAAAATAGTCCACGGGGCTGCTTCCTGAGACTGCCTAGTGGGGATCAGTCAGACTTAGCGATATCTGAGGAATTCCTGGGGCACGTTTCAGAGACCTTACAGCAGAAACTTTCTTTTTTTAATTGTGCTTTACGTTAATAATTACCTGAATAACAGCTCCTTGTAGAGATTATATTTTAAGGATTCATTGTTATCTTCGTGGTATTATCTGCATGAACTGGGACTTGCGTAAACCCCCGTATTTTTAATGCCTGCACGCCCAAATCTGAAAAAGCAGAGTGTGTGGCAAGAGACTTCTGTATGTATCAAAAATACTAAATGTTATTTAATATTTAAGGCATAGGTCTTTTTTTTTTACTGATAGGGGCAGAGTATTCAAAGGAAAAAAAACCAAAACTGATGGGGATTGTTTGAGTCTCTAAATAGCATTTTTATGCATGGAATCAGGTATTAATGACATGTATCACTTCAACACTGATTAAAATTTTAAAATTAAATGGAGGTCAAATACTCTCTCCACTTTTGCAGTGAAATGAACAGATTTACTTGTGTTGGAATGGCAGAGGTGGGGAATTAACGCTTACCTCGTACAATCACCTAAGTAAGTTCATTTTCCTCTTTGCTTGATAGATTTGGCCCTGGATTAGTCATCTACTGGTATGGATTTATTGAAGAGCTGGACTGCCATCGTGAACGTGGTATCCTGCTAAAAGACTGCTTTCCTACTGACATTGTGACTCTGCGACACAGCATGGCTCAACGCTGATGTTGGGAGGAGGAGGAGGTAAATCCGGAAGCAATTTGACTTTCCTGCAGTGTAAACCAGTGGCAGCATCTGCCCTGAACTTCAGCTGAACTCCTGCTGCCCGCCCTTATGCTACTGCCTCTTTACACAAACACATCAAGAGTTTCTGTTTTGCTTCAGACCTCTGTTGTGATCAGCCAAAAAAGGCAGACACAACCCACTCATTATCAGCATTTCTGTCTCTGTCAAACAGCTAGTTTCTAGATACTCATAATCTCTTCCTTCCGGATGGCTTCTTCTAGCATTCTAAACAAAGGCAAAAATGCAGAGGCTGAAAGATGCGACTTTCGGATCTTGTCCCTGTTGCCGAGTCACCTTTAAAAATACGTGGCTTTTTTATGGTTTCACTCACAAGTTTATTCAGTGCTAGTGATCTGACTGAAACACCTACACTGATGTGGAAAATTGGTAAAGACTGTTATTCTGGGGCTTAAAACAATGTAATGAATGGCTCGTAAAGCCCAGGTGGTAAGACAGGATCACTTAATTTCTCGCTGTTTCAATAAATAGCCAGATTTTGTGAAAATAATTGGTATGTTTGTTTTGTCACTATCTGATTGCTAAAATCAACAATGAAATCCCAAGTTGACAATTAAAAAATAATCTAAGTTAGAGCATTTGGGGGGGGGGGCAGTGAAAGTGAAGAGCAAGGATTCATTTTTCATACTGTGAAGTTTGGGGTTAGTTTTGTGGGTTTTTTAATAAGTAGTTTAATGACTCAAAAATACCTTGTGTTTTGTCTTTTCCTCCCCACCCCCTGGGGAATCCATACCTCGGAGTTTTTCTCTTAACTGGCTTTAAGGAAGGAATCTGTCTTGACCCCTGTAGGTACTGTAACATGCAATTTTCTGGCATACTGAAGTCCGACAGAACAATGTGCAGGAGCTCTCTATGTGGATTACTTCTGAAGAAGATTACCGTCCTGGTGTTCAAGAAGGGGAATAAAAAAAAAAAGGATAAAACAGTGCTTCATACTAGATCAGTTCCACAAGACAAATAAAGCACACAGATGGGCATATGTTTCCTGCATACTTAGGTATTCTTGTAAGAGCATTGTTTTCCTCTTGTTGGAGCCACCGAGGTCAGAGGTACGTTGAGGTGGGTGTAAGCCCTCCTTGAAGTTTCGAGGAGTTCAATCTCATTCTATTCCCATCCTCATTGCCTCTCAGAGGGGCAGTATCAGGCCTCAGGTTTGTGCTCTCAGTTAGAGGTTTCTTAATGATAGCGGCTTATTGGGCTTGACACTCTTTAATACTCTTTCTTTTGCTGACTGGCATCCAGGAAAGGCCAAAATATTTTAAAAAGTCAATGGGAGTTTTGCATGTATGCTCACCGTGATCAGAGTTTCAGAGAAGTTAAGCAGAGGTACAGATTGTGTTGGAGAATTAAAGGTGTGATAACAGTCTCCCTAAAGCACAAGCTGATAAGCTCTTCCATAAGGAAAGGGTCTTTAAAACATTACAGTCCGTATTCATCATCTTTTTCAGTCGAGGTGATACTTTGTGCGCCTGTATGATTTCAAAAATCACATGCAGACTTTTTACAGTCTTGCCTTGAGTTAAAAGAAATGGTATTAATCTTATGCTTTTTTTTCAGCTATAGTTTTCAGATGCATATGCAGTATTTTTATTGTGAATTTTTAGTTCTCACTTTAACTCTTTTTGGTAAGTTTCAGACCGGAGTTTATCATTCTAACTAATCTTTAATTTTCAGGAAAAAATACCTTTGGTCTTCCTAGTAGTCTGTCCCTAGCTGCAGAGATAAGCTAGTGTAGCTCCACTACAGTGAGTTATTGTCGCATAGAGATTATTTCTTTCGTCTGAATGTGTTATAGTGGAAAGATTATTTTTTTAAAAAATATTCAAACACTTGTAACTCATTTATGTTCAGCTATTTAAGGTATTATGCTTAGCTTATTTTACCTGACCAGCTTTAAGGATCTGCCCGTAAAGATACACAGAAGCGATCTGCGAAGTGTACCTGCCTGATGCTACGCAGAAGGCATTTAGGGTGCTGCTGCCCCTGGGACTTTTAACTGTGGTTAGTGGAATGTGTAAGAAAAAGAGAATAAAAAAGAATAAATAATTTAACATTATTGTAGTGGAAAACTCAGAATTAATGGTTGTCTGAGTGAAAAGGGTTTTAAGGGCAAACTCAATTTGTTTTAGCTCGTGCATATGCTTTCTGTTATATGAAATCATTTAAATCAGCTTTTACATGATGCACTAATGCTGCTTTTTCTTTTTGAATAAATTAAATTTATCTGCACAGATGTTGAAAATTCTGCTCAACCTCCATCAAAGCTTTGCTTTATTTGTTTTTACATTACACAAATTTATGTGGGGACACACAGATAAATCAGGTTAGGCTTGTATTTGTTTATTTATTCCTCTACCTAATGCTGTGACATAACAGGTTGGAAAACAGTACAGCTGTCTTTAATCAAAGCTTTGACCTCATCTTTATATATTGCTCCCTTTAAGAATCTCTGTATTAGAGTGCGGATGAAATAAGCCACAGAAGTGTGCATACTGTACTAATTTCATTACATGCTATCAAACAAGCTTTGCCACCATAAAAATTACACTGTGTCACTATTTTAAATGCTGAAAGCAGAACATTAAAAAAACTAAGACTACTTTGTTATTCCTGCTTGTATCTTGAAAAAAAACCTTTGTGTATTTTTTCTATCAGATATAAACATCAACTTTAATATTAGAGGAGAGACTACTGTGTGTATGCTGTCTGTTGTTTTTGTTTTCTTAAACAACGCCGTAGTCATTAGAACCTTAACATTAAAGCCAAATCCAGTTTTATGGAGTATTCTGTAGAGTGTGCTAATGAATTATGCCAAGCTAGAAAACAGAAGTGTGCATAAAACTGAATGATGTTCTTGCTGGCGTATATAGACTTGCCAAGCATCTGCTCTTACAGGCACTGTAATAAGGCCTGTTCTGAGCTTTAGGAATTGCTGTAATTGTGTTGAACGGGGAGGTAAAACTTCTTTGTACAGGAGGAACAGCATGATGGTGGGTCACACTCCAGTATAAAAAGCAAACGTTTTTTACTATGCCTGTATTTGGGGGACATATTATTACTATGAGTTTAGTAATCTTTCTCTAAAGCCAGCTCAGAGCAGAAGAATAAAAATTCTGCTCTAAAGCCAAAGGAAAAGGACCCAATGTCTTACTGTGCTTAACTCATTACTATTTTATCACATTAATAGAACTGATAGCGCATGAATAATTTTCATCCTACTTCGTTACATTCGCTCATTCAAAAAGTCATTCTTTCCTGGTATTTGCTCTTGGATTTCTCCACCATCTAGACTACTACAGAAGACTAGTCATGGCTCTTTCCATTTGCCATTAAATCCTCCCCTTTTCATTTTCCATCTTTTTTAACTATTTCACATTCCTTTATTCTGTATCCTCCCATTTATCCTTGTTTCCCCTTTGAAAAGCCTCTCCTGTGTTTTCTACTGCCTGCTTCTGTTTCTGATAGCACATCTGCAGAGTGCTGTTTCCAGTTCTGTATGCATTTGGGCTTGGCCCACCATCTTAAGCAATTTTGCTCTTAATCTAATTTAAATAGCAGCTTGAGGTACCAGGCAGACTGCCCTCAAATTTCCATACTGTGTTGCGATGGGGAAGCATCGTGATGCTCGTCTTCGTTCTCTTGGTTTGAAATATAGGTCATTTCTGCAGGCTGGGAGTGTTCACAGAGCAGGGCACCAGTGCAGTATAATCACTCCTGTACCGAGAGTAGACTTGTACAAAGGACTAAGTTAAGAGTGCAGCGGTGCTGCCACAAAACGGGCAGAGCCAATATTAGGCGTTTAGCTCTTACGCCAGCCTCTTTCATTAAGGAGATTTGCAAGAAGGTCTGTTGAAGGCAAAGGTTTAGCTTTCCTCCTGCACCAAAATCTGCTTGGCTCAGAAGGGAGGAGATGGCTGGCCCCCCGTTTTCAGACCACAGTCGTTCTGACAAAAAGCTTCTACATCCTGCAGGTCGTTCTTACTTAACAGAGTTGATTACGGCTCCTCAAGGGTCAGCAAAAAGTACACAGAATTGAACTTGGTTCTTCCTTCTACTATAGCTGAAGTACTCTCACTATTTAGATAGCTTCTGAAGGGATCTTCTGCAGTTAGTGAACACGGATTGAGAACAGCAGTTGTTAGAAACACACTTTTGTTATTTCAAGAATGCATTTATAGATATGTTAAGACAACTGCTGCTCAAGTATTAATTTAACATTGTGGAATAAAATAGGATGCTGCCTGCAAAAAAAAAAAAAAAAAATTCCTCCTATCATGTTATTCTAAGTCACAAAGGGCCGTTTGTTGTGGATTTGCAGGTTATTCAGAAATAGTCGTTTTATTACGTTGACAAAAGAAGAAACCTCAAGGGCTTGCTCCTTACAGTGGGGTGATAGGAACCTAAAGCGTGCCTGTTGAAAAATGAACTTGCTAACAATAGGAGCTTGGCAGCAACTTCACCATTTATAGAGAAACCGTCTATCTGGTACGATCTGTATAAAATAGACCTCGCTTAGGTTAGGGAAAGGTCACAAGTTACACAAAGTTTGGATAGTCTAAATGCGTTACTCAAAACTAACTCTCCTGTGTATAGTAAATATTATTTGAACCTGTATTATTAAGAACATGCCAGGATTCAAAAGATTAAATACGGAAGATGTAATTATGAGCTAAATAATAAACAGAGCAGTTTTAGTTCCCCTTGTGTTTTTCACTTTCCTGCTATTGTTTCATATGTGGCTGTTATACAAAGAGCAGCTTAGGTCAGCTACTATAAATTATGGGTTTCGTACAATAGTAATCTACCAAAATTATTCCAAAGCTGGATCAAAGAAAGAGTTTCAAAAGACTTTCTGAAAACTTTTCCACATAAGAAAAAGGCTTCATTTTGATGCCCTATTTTTATAAGGATTTTTTGATTTAGAGTTGCATCTTACAGGATTCAGCTACTTACGTTGATATTATGTTATTCGAACACATGACATTTGCATAATTTATTTGCAGCCTCAAGTAAGCATGAAATGGTAAGATCAAAAAAACTCTTCTTAAATACATTACCTGGTTCATTTTTCAGGCTGGGTTTTTCATCTGATCTAAGTGAAGAGATTTTTTTTGTTGTTTTTTCAAGAAAAATGGCAAGATTTCAAGTGAAATTTTATCTAACTTTCTTCCCTTTGCAAACATACGGCTCATATTCGCAATGATAACGATCGTCGTCAATGATACCGGTAACTCTGCGTAGTAGCTTTAGCTAGCACCATGTCCCTCTGGACAACATTAGCCTGCCCTGGCTCCCAGACAGGCATCCACCTAAGCCCAACAACGGCGCCTCGGCCGCGCAGATCCACAGATGCGGCGCTGCGATGTCAAAACAAAACAAAATGACACTGCAAGCGTATGGAGACGAAGTAACAATATTGAAACCACGTCAGCGCACATCTGCAGAGACCACGTTGCTCTTGTCAGTGTGATTTTAGGAAGATCACTTTGAAATGTTAAAATGAAATGAAACTAAGTCAATTAGGTAATAACAATTGAGGTTCAGGGATTAATTGAGGGCCTAAGGTGAAAACAGTGACCATTAACCCCAGCTAGTTATTAATTCTCAGAGAAATATCCTTGACTAAGGTTATTCTCATTACTAGAGAGTTTGGAGAGTTTTTTCCCCCTATATTTTGTAAATACTTTTTGCTGTTGCATCTGACAGTGATACCACAAAGCGTGGTGTTGAAGGGCAGCACAAAGCATATTAGAGCTTAGAGTTAAGTTTTCATAGCAAGTGAATCCACCTAATGCCAAGCAAACCTTTTTTGTTACATAGACATTTAACAGATTTATCTTGATGTCCAGCTGACTGTCTATAAACAGATTTACTAGAATATACTTACCTCTGACAACTTGCCAAATGAAAATAACGCGATCATGGAGAAGTATTCATTCACACGGCAACTGCTGTTTGCACGGCCTAAGGATTCATCGTTAGCAGAAAGCAGACACATAAAACAGTCAAACAACAACAATATTAAACATTTTTTCTTCAAACATGCCTAAACGAGCACCACGTCAAGGTTACAAACTTTATGCAAACTCAGGTTTCCAAAGTATATGACCGTAGCATTAAGACACAAACGTGCAATATTCATTTAATGCTATCAATGAGAGATTCTTGCCAAGATCAATGCCTCTGTGGTCCAGCGTGCTGTACAAACACATACGAAGTACCCCTGGGTCTCCGTCCTGAGGAGAGATGACATAGGAAACTAGGTCAAAGGAATGCAATTGTTTTCTTTTTATATTTTTTATATAAAAACATGCACATTTATATATAAATATATATAATATACACTCATAATTATTTTTGCTATTAATAAATACCCACTACCCTTTCTCTTATAGTCATCTCCGTTATTTGTTTGCTCTTTATGGGTCTGTTGGTAGAGGTCGTCAGGGAAGGGCACTAACTCGTCACTTAAACCTGTCATGCAGGGCGATATCCCACGTTTCA